CATGAGAGTTCAGCTCCCATGGGGGTTCATCCAAGTTGCCACAAGAGCAGAATGATGTGGAGTGTAGGCTTAGATTCACTTGTTGTATAACTACCACTTAGTCTTGCTTGAGTTTCGTTGGAAGAGGCGTAGCATGTACCATGCACGGTAGATTCAAGAACTTAACTGATCAAACTCCGGATGTTGACAAAGCCCGTGATGACTTGAAAAAGCTTCCAAAAATGAATGCTGAACTCGATAGCTTGAGCCAAGAACACCAAGGTTACTGTGGACATTTTCCCGTTCGTTATTTCCTTCAATGATCTCACTCTCACGTCTCACCATCTTTATAGAATTCATTTTGAGTTTTTTTTTTGGCCCTATTGGGTTGTAACTTGATATGATTTATTGCTTATCTAACGGATTTTCACGTACGTGTTTTTGATGCTCTTTCCTGCATATTTATTGGAGACTTATGGTTTGACTCTATTTCAAAGACAAAAATATCCTAATATAATTTGAAATCAATGGATATGTAGCACAAATGAATAATCAGTTCGAGAAAGGTGCAAAACTGAATATAGAGGTAAATTTTTGATAATGTGTGGTTAAAAGGTAGAAAAAATTTGAATTTACATGTAAAAATTGAGCAATTGAGGGGAAGGTGAAGGGTTGTAGCTGAAATTGCTACTGGAAATGGAAAACGGATTTCATCTTGAACATTATTCCTGCAATTCTTGAACAATTTATTCAGTGACTTGATCCATTGTGCTTTCTCGAACTGATTATTCATTTGTGCTACATATCCATAATAATGTTAGAACTAAAAGATCCATTTTAGGGCAAACTCTCTATTACCTTAGGAAAGCACTAGCCCCCTAACATTACGTAGTTGATCATGTAGCCTTGTGTGCGATACATTTTATGGAAATGTGGAGTGCTACAAGTGTAAACGGATTACGCGTAAAAAGGAATTTTTATTTCAATTGTCCCAATTCGAATTCCTTTACAAGCATCAGGCACCACATGTAGTGTGTTCAAAATTAGAAAAAGAAGGAAAACACGAAATCAAAGGGATGTACTGAAAACATCATGTATGGATACCCTTCCTTATGGATTTTTTCAATGTTATATATGTAAGTGTTATGCCCTAGGTCCAATCAACTTTGGACATAAACACTTTGAATATATATATAATCAATGCATATGTATGGCAATATCTATTATTTAATTGAATTAATATTCTAATAAATTAAATAATAGAATCCGTAGATTCAAGTCTTGGTGATTTGTTAATCACAAGGAGTTGTGATTGTGAGATACAAA